GGCCGGACCGTCCCCGCCGCGAAGCCTCCCCGCCCCAGAGGAGTCCCCTCTCCCGTGTGCCGCGGCGGCTTCGCTCCTCCTCCTCCTCCGGCCAGGGTGCCGTTCCGCCGCCGCCGCCGCCGGGGACCTCGGCTGAGTCCACTGTCCGCCCACGCGCAGCACAGCTCAGGGGGACCAGGTCTGAGTCCGGCCTGGCGCCTTTGAGGACACCCGAGGGCCCTTCTCCTCCCCACAACGGAGTGGAGTTACGGATCAGGCAGGGAGCTGGCTCAGTTAGCGTGCAGAACGGCGAAGGTCTTTTCCAACGTCTGTCTTTCACGTAGGTGGGCACCAAAGCTTGTGCCCAGAATCAAACTTCGGGGGTCTTGAAAGGTTCCCCTGGGACCCAAGCTTTGCAGTTTTGCTCCAGGGCCACCCCCCTGGACCTTGCAGATGGAGGCCCTGTGTTCTGGGTGCTCCGGGGGTCCTTCAGGGCCTTGCGGGTGACAGTTACTCTCCAATGGAAGCCATGGCGTGACCAGTAGCCCGCGGAGTCGCTGCAGACAGGTGTAGGTGTCTATGTGTAGGTTCTGCTCCGTGCCCAGAAGGACCAGCTGGAGTTCCTGAGCGGTCTTGATGGGCAGGCCCTTCCAGAGGGCGCTGCGGTAGTCTAGCCCCAGATTGACATGGCCAGATCACCTGAATCAAGGTCAGGGGCCGTTTTCTGAGCTCCGTGGAATGGGCCAAATGACTTTTTTTGCAGCCAGTGATCAAGCTGGATGAGTGGTCACTCTGTGGCCGCTGACCAAGTCAGCGGGACCCCACCAAAAGTGGGGAGCCTCCCATCCCTCACAACCTCGGCCTTCCCAGCTGGCATTTCTTTGGTCTTGTCAGGATTCCGCTCCGGCTTGTTTATCCTCAGCCCTGTAATTGCAGCAGCCGGGCCCTAGTTCAGAGTCTCGACTGCCTCACCAGGCAGCTGGCTAAATAAATGTGCAGGTGAGTCTTCTAGGGAAAGCGCAGGGCCCTTTGACACGGAGGACAGAAGGCAGGCAGAGCGGCTCCTGCTGATGGCTCCCCGCCCAGACACAGGCAGACTTTGTCCTGGGTGGGGCCCCTCTGCACGGTCCCTCCTCGCTGGCTCCCTTTGGTCGTTGGCAGGCTGAACACCACCCCCGAATCCTCGGCTGCCTTGTTGCAACGTGAGAGGCACAGGGTTCCTAAAACTTCTAATAACTTGGAAGCCGTTGATTGGGGGCTTTTTTTGCAGCTTAAACAACACAGAATGCATCACGTGCAGTTTTGCTCTCTGGCATATTTGTGAGATTTAGAAATGTGCCTGTTCTCACTGGGTCTTTTGACAGTTGGGGTGTGAAGCAGCCAGAACCTGTTCTTCCGCCTCGGTTCTGCTGGACTCCTGCGGCAGAACCACCTGCTCCCTTTTCAGAGTGGGAGAGCGGAGGCTGAGCCAGGGACACCATTACTGCACTGCTCTGGATCCCGGGATTCACGGAGTGATGCTGCCGCTGCCATCTCTCCTCCTCACGTGGTGTCTCCTGGGGAGGGGCCTTCCCCGGGTGTGCCAGGGTCCTCCTCCAGCGAGGAGACGGAGCACTCAGGTTTTGCCTTCCTTCTTCCTTCCTTCCTCAGGTGCCTCAGTGGTGTGCAGAGTACGCTCTTTCGCTGCAGTTTGCCCACGGCCAGGTGGTCTGCACTCAGCCCCACAGCCTGGCTGCCTTGAGCCTGGCCTTGCGCGTGGCAGATGAGATGGACCTCAACGTGGGCCACGAGGTGGGGTACTGCATCCCCTACGAGGACTGCTGTATCCCGGAGACGGTGCTCAGGTGAAGGCCTCTCTGCCGACTGGCTGGCCAGCCGGGGCGTGTTGTTTCTGGCAGGGTGTCTCAGGGAGGGGGGCTGCTGGTTGAGGGGCCGGCTGGCTCCCCCGCCCCCCCGCCTTGGGTGACAGACGGCTTGCGTGGGTTGCAGGTTCTGCTCAGACGAGGTCCTCTTGCGGGAGATGACCTCCGACCCACTGCTGCGGCAGTACGGGGTGGTCGTGCTGGACGAAGCCCAGGAGCGCACGCTGGCCGCTGACCTGCTCCTGGGGCTGCTGAAGGACGCCCAACGCCAGCGCCCGGAGCTGCGTCTCGTCGTGGTGACGGAGCCGTCGATGGAAGAGCAGCTGTCCCGCTTCTGCCAGGAAGCCCCGCTGGTGCGGGTGCCCCTGCTCACCCCAGCCCCCCGCCTGACCTACCGGGAGGCCTCGCCTCAGGGCCCGGTGGCCGCGGCCTGCCAAGCCGTGCTGGAGCTGCACCGGCAGGAGGAGGAGGAGGCGGCCGGGGACGTGATGGTCTTCTTGGCCAGCCAGCAGGTGGGGAGCCCGTCTGGCAGTGGGCCGGGGGGGGGTCCCCACGTGAGCAATCTTAGGCCGCTAACGGAGGGTTTCAGGATTGAAGCACCTGTGTGGCCTGTACGAGAGGCGCCCCTGGCCTCTCTCTCCTCTCTCTGCTCGGCAAAGGCCTCCCAGCTAAAGTGGCCTTCCAGCTCAGCTGAGCAGGCCAGTCGGGGGAATGCAGCCCTGGCCGGGTCAGACCCGTGTGGGCCCCTCTGGTCCTGCATCCTATGTTCTTCCTGTGGCGGACCAACGGCAGGGCAGGCCTTCCCCTGAGTTTGTCTCCGGGGCTCTGGGATTCTGAGGTTTAGTGCCCCTCAGTCACCGTGGCTACGGCCCCTGACTGACCTATTTCTTCCCCTGCTCAGAGATGAGCAAGGGCTCTCGGAGGGGGGAGGACGGGGCGGGTGGGTGGTTTCGGGTGGGTGGGTGGCGCTTGGGAGGCTGTGGGAGCCTCCTGGTCATGGACGTTTTCCCCTCCCTCCCTCCCGCCCCAGGAGATCCAGGAGTGCTGTGAAGCTCTCTGTGCGGCCGCCGCGTCCCTGGACCCCCGCCTGGGCCCCCTCCTGGTGCTGCCCCTTCACCCCGGCGTGGGGCGACAGGCCCAAAAGCTGTACGAGACGTTGGAGCCGCCGGCCGGAGGCGCAGCGCGCCGGGTGATTGTCACCCACTGGCTGGCAGACGCGGCCTTCTCGGTGGGGAGCGTCAGGCACGTCATCGACACGGGTCTGGAGCTGCGCAGTGTGAGTGGGGGAGGGTTCTCCCAGGCCTGCTCCTGGCGTGTGCGTGCGTAAAGCCCACTTCCCTTGCCTGTGTCTTCGGGGCCTGCCCTGCACACCCCGCACGGCTCCAGTGCTGGGGACCGGGGGGGGATCCCTGCAGGGGCCGTTGCCAACAGGGATGCTTCCCTCCTCCCCTCCTCCCCTTAGCCCTGCGTGCCACGGAACGCTCAGCCAGGGAAAGTGGGCTCGGCCCACCTTGGGCCCCCCCCCCGGTCCGCTCACCGTTGCCCCGTTCTCCACTCTGGGGTTCTGGCCAGGCCTGGGGGCTGTTGTGGTTGCTTGGCACCCCTGAGCGAGGTGGGTGGGGGGAGCTTTCCACGGGCGACGCTGGCGTCCCTCCAGCTGCCTGGCGTCCCTCCAGCTGCCTGGCCCAGGAAAGCTGGTGGCCAGCCACACGCACCCCCACCCCCGTTCTGGTTTGCGGAGGTCCCTGGCTCCTGCCGGGGAAGTTCTGGGCTTGGTGGGGCCCCTGCCCTGGCCGTCCTCTGGGCAGGAGGGGGTATCTGCTCCCCGCGCCGTCGCCAGGTCTGTTTTCGGGCTCCGCAGGCCGTTCCTCACTCTCTTTCTCGGGCAGGTTTACAACCCACAGATCCGTGCTGAGTCGCAGGCCGTGCGCCCGATCAGCAAAAAGCAGGCGGAGGCTCGGCGGCTGAGGGCGGCGGGGAGTCCCGCGGGTGAGCCTGCTGCTGGGGCCGGGTGGGCTGGGGGCTGCAGCACCCCCCAGGGGGCTCCTTCCCACGGTCCTCTCCTGTGCCCGGCAGGGACCTGCCTGCGCCTCTACGCGGAGTCCTTCTACGAGCACAGCCTCCCGGCCCTCCCCCCGGCCCGTGTGACCGAGGCCAACCTGAGCCGCCTGGTCCTGCTGCTGAAGAGGCTGGACATCGCGGACATGGGCCAGTGCGACTTCCTCGACCGGCCAGGTGAGGGGCTGCTCTGGGGCGGAGGGCTGCGGGAGGGCTCCGGGGGAGGGGGGCACGGACCCGGAGCCTCACCAGCCTCAGCCCGGCCCCTCCTTCCCTCCCTCGCCAGCCCCGGAGTCCCTCATGCAGGCCCTGGAGGACCTGGACTACCTGGCGGCCCTGGACGACGGCGGCAGCCTCTCCGAGGTGGGCATCATCATGTCGGAGTTCCCCGCCGACCCCCAGCTGGCCAAGGCCCTCCTGGCCTCGTGTGAGTTCGACTGCGTCCAGGAGATGCTCACGCTGGCGGCCATGCTGGCAGGTATTATGCTCGGGGGCAGGGGGGAGTCCCTCGCCCACACCCCTCCCAGCCCCTCCTGCCTTGGCGCCTTCTCAGGACTGGCCTTCCTCTGCTGGTGGACCCCTGCATAGGGTTCTGCCCCCCAGGCCAGTTCAGGGATGAGGGGAAAACTCTACACTGGCTCAATACTTTACACAATAACCCAGAGAGGTAGGCTCTCTGGATTTCAGAACAATAGCCACCAGACAGAACACACTAGCACCTCCTCAGAGATGCACACTTAATACTTAATGGTAGCGTGTAGCCTGCGAGATTTAGGCTTAGAATTCAGTTACAACAATACAGACATAAGAACATAAGAGACGCCAATGTTGGATCAGGCCAAAGGCCCATCCAGTCCAACACTCTGTGTCACACAGTGGCCAAAAATACCAGGTGCCATCAGGAGG